CTATACTACATCCACCTGACAGATGTGAATTTTGAAAACAATATCGATTGTCCTAGGAATTTAGCCTATAATTTGAAGAAAAGGAAGGCTAGGCGGTGAAAAGTGCAAATCAATACTTTTTTTGAAACTTGCGGATGAGTTTCTGTCTGACTATCTTAATCCTTTTCTTTACCAGTTAAAATATACCTTTCCCGCCCCTTATTTAGCAGAATATATGTTATTTCCTTTTCTCAACTGCCTCTCAAAAATGAGTCGGAGGAGAAATCTAAATTGTTTTCAATTATCCAAAATTATCACAAAACCTAAATAACACACGCTAGAATCTGGAACGAAAGGAAAAGCAAACTGAAAATCTTGACTCCTGCTTTCCCTCCCTCCTTTCAAAGCCAACTTATACCAACAAAAAACCTGGGCGATTTTCTGCTGTAGATTGGAATTATCCCAGTTCCGAGACAAGCTTTGAGGGAGAACTCGTAAAGCAAATTTCCTAATTAATTCATCAGTCTCTTAGTTTCACTCAGCTTTGGAATTTTTTTCTTTTCAGGAAACCCATGTGTTTAAGTTTGCTCAAAAAACTATAACACGCTTCATCTGTCAGATTCGAATCTGCTTACAAAGTGATGAATGCAAGAAGCTTTCGGTTTGTAACCATTTTTTGACAATAATTATGTCTTTGAACCTCTGTTGGAAATGTTTTTTTAGCCTCCCTCAACATGTCCAACGCTCGAAGAACGAACTATAAATGCAAAGATAGAGAATTCAGAAGACGAAAAACCATTGCAACGAGCTAAAGAGTTGGGATCTTTACGTACTGCTTTAAGTAAAATTGAGCCTAATCTTTTCAGTAAACCATTCCCTGTGGATGATGTCCTGGCACGTTCATCCAAAGAAACGGGACCACCTTCAGCTCAGCCTGTTGCGGACACCAAGCAAGATGCTAATGCTACTCTTGGTAGTATATACTTCGGCTATGGGTAAGTTGACGTCATTGCAAAGCGTGCCGTGCGGATATCCGTCACCAATCATGCACCTCAATAATCTAAACTTAGTACCATTTGTCCGCGCTGCCGAAATCGCCGAACAGTTGCGCTCTCTGTTTTGAGTGCTAAAATTGCGAAAAAATCCTTTAGGTACGACTCCACAAGAAATCGACGAGAGCTGTCCGAACCACGGGTTTCTACGAACAAAGGCTACCCTGAGGTTGATCTTGTGGGTGAATTACGAGTACTGGACTCACCTGAGGACGTCATGTATTTTGGTAAGT